TCCAATATTTATCTTGTTTCTTATTGTTGGTCTTATATAATATCCTTGATTAATTTTCAGGCCTTGCAGTGCTATTTATTAAATTAGGGATGCAGCCCACTAAGTTAATAAATTATTATTGTGGAGGCATTCTTGTCTTCTGAATGTATAAGTACACTGCTTAAATTACTCTCAGGGAATAATTTACACATGAAGAGGCTCTGGTGGTTAAAAAAGCTTTGTGTATTTCTTATCTCTGGAAATAGTCTTGGACTAGGTGCTTAACTGGGTATCAAAGCAATTGTTTTTTCAAAGTGGTAATGATTTGTACTATTCGGTGGTGCCCAATACACTATCCTAGAACTGTGAATTAAATATAATGTTAAAAAATAACATTTTGAACCAAAAATTTCCATAAGAAACAGAGTCTGTCTCAAATGAGAAAATATGCTCATGATCTTGAAAAGGCTCAGTAAGCTTTCTTTCATTGTGAGATTTTTTTTTTCTTAAAAGAGCTGCAATAAAGTGAACATGGAAAACACTTCAGATCAAGGAAAAAGAAATTAGACCTTGGCTGCTGTTGCAAAAAAAAATATTACTCCCCTCCCACCTTATTTTAAGTATTAAAAGGTAGAATTGAGGGCAATGCCTCTGGGCTTCTAATCTTGTGCCACTCTTGTTCTTGTCCTTGGGCTGTTCGTGTCAAATTTGTATGCTGCTTGCTTATGTGTGACACACATCTCTATCCCAAATGTAGGCATTATAAAATTTTAAAAAAGATACGGTTTTGGTAAAACATTTCCCTTGGGTCATAAACTCTGTGACAGCAGGAACCCTGTCATTCTTATATTCTTAGACATTAACTCTGTGCCTGGCACATGGAATAGGAGAAATATCATTTTGGTGAATGAATGTATGGGTGAAATACACAGAAAAAGTGCACTATTATGGAAAAAAATCCTTAATTATTCTGAGTCTAATATTTGCAAGATGTTTGGTTATGTCTGTCCCATTATCTGTTTTTTATCCATGCATATTCTTCCTTTTCCCCCAAAATCCAGACAGCAAGGAATGAGCAATGGTTAATTTTATTTGATTTGATTATTTGAGTTTGTACATCAGTAATCTATCACAAGTAAGTAAAATTCTATTAAGAAGCAACCACTGCTTCTTGATACCCTAATTACTCTTTAAAGGAGTTATATTGTGCTAGAAACATCCAAACTGGCCTCAACTTCTAACTAAACAAACCAATTGCAAATAAAAGGACTGGAGCCAAAATGATGGTGAAGGGCAGTGGCAATGGTGGTGGCAATGCTTAGGAGTTAATATCCATCCCAGACACCGTCTTCTTTTATCCTTCATCAAGCATTTTATTTGATATGATGGTGTCAATTGCTTTTCTTTTCTGCTCCTCAAAACTAACCCTATGGTGCTTCACACTGTGCTAAGTACTACAGTATGAATTTTGGTAAGATAATTGCTTTTTGTATAAATAAATGGTTTTATCCTCATCACTTCCATTTAATTTTTTTTTTTTTTGTATTTAGAACTGAAAAAATTTGTCTCAAAATTTATTTGCAAACTCCTTTTTATAATTAAAAAAATATTTTCTATAATTACATTGTCAAGTACCCAAAAAGTTGTTTCACATTTGTACTTCACTTAAAGTGCAAGGATCTTCAGATGTGCTGGGTACAAAATTAATCTGCTGTTATTTCTGTTTTGAATCCTTTTAATTAATAGACAGCTTGTTAGAATAGGCTATAAATAATATATCGAAAGACTGGCATAAATTCCTTTGCCCAAAAGTTGAATCTACATTATTCATGGTTGTGTTATCTTTCCTTTTTCCCACTCCTTGTCCTTTTGTTGCAAAGAGGTCACGTAAGGACGTCCGTGGAAGGGCTCTGTGCGCCATCTACTGACGAAATCTATATTTCCAGTGTCTGGAGAAAGAAAAGAATTAACACCTCCGTTTTTTAAAGCAGTCTCTGAGAAAGGAGGAATAATGGGAAAAGACCTTCTCTGACTCTCTGGCTTATTGGTGACTCTCGTAATAAATCCGAATTCAGCAAATACATAATTCAGAAAGGAGACATCAGTTCCTCAGCGCGAGTACGAGTTATAGAGAGAATCCCAAGACATCCCGGTTGGCATTGGAAGAAGTTAGCCAAACCCTGAAGTCAACTCAAACGAAGAATAGATTGTTTTTTTTCACCTGTGTGCTAAGCTAGACTCGCTGCCTAATGGTTGCCACTTTATAAGAAATGGCTTTATTTTTTTTTAATTTTTATTGGAGTACTGTTGATTTACAATGTGTTAGTTTCCTGTACAGCAAAGTGAATCAGTTATACATATACATATATCTGCTCTTTTTTATATTTTTTTCCCATATAGGTCATTACAGAGTACTGAGTAGAGTTCCCTGTGCTATACAGTAGGTCCTTATTAGTTATCTACTTTATATATAGTAGTGTATATATGTCAATCCCAATCTCCCAATTTATCCCTCCCCCCTGCTTTCCCCCCGGTAGTAAGTCAGAGAAAGACAAATATCATATGGTATCGCTTATATGTGGAACCTCATTTGCTTTTCAGCAGTCACTTTCAGTGTCTTGCCTGAAAGGAGGGTGTCCCGTAGGAATGGTAAGCCATGTGGCAGGTCTTTTCAGGGAGGGGGCTTTATCTGGCACCCCTAAATCATGGCATATAGGAAGCTCCTACTTTATTCTTTCCCGCACAAGGCCATGTAAGATGGTAAGAATGCAGTGGAAAAGGGGGAATTTTCCAGGTTTAATTCAGAAGGAACAAAGCACAAGTGGCCCCAGAGCAGGGACCTTTCCAGCCCCACCCCATCATGATACACTTCACCAGCTTGGGCAGAAACAGGAAGTAGGTGAGGGCAACACAGAGCCCTGTGAATGTGACCAGGGCACCAAAGAAATGGCTTTATTAATGGCACATCCAGATAACTATCAGTTTCCTATCTTATTATTCCAAAGGACTTCTCTCCAGTTTGATTATTTAAAAATTAAATAATGCATAGCAAGTAGGTCCATCCTTCACGTAGATCCTAACACATAGTTCGTCAATGTGTATGTAAACTTAGTCCTTATACACACAGACACAACTACACGTACACCTACAAGATGACACGCATCAATGTACATGTGGGTGAGCTGCGAAATCTAAGCTCTTGGACTTGGATTAAAATGTTTCTATCTTCAACTGTTCTCTCCATTATATACTAAATCCAGTAAAAGGGTGGGAGGAATTGGAGTCCACAGGTAAAAGAAGCTTTCTTGGTTGTAGGTGGGAGGGAGAGAGCAGAGTATCAGTTTTAGGGCTTCAAACCGCTTGAATTGGAGGCTTGCACTGGAAATTAAAATTGGGCCGAAGTGGTCCGATGTGATCCGATGTGATGTGGGTTATCTTCGCGTGAGCAGCTGGGAGAACTGACAAATTAACGTCAAGGATCCCGGATGCCCCAGCTAACCTCCTTCCCCCTATATCGCTCTTTTTAATCCAAGGGCCCATACAACTTGCTTTCGTGGTTTGAAGAAAGACAAAACGAAAAGAAGAAAGCAAGAAAGTTGAGCCAAAAAATAAAAGAGAGGCAAGTAAAGAGGGAAGGCAGGGAGACGAGAATGAAGCCCAGAGAAAGAGTCAGAAAGAAGTTGGGAGGTAGGAAAAAAGGGAGAAAAGGAAGAAGATAGAGCAAAAAAGGAATGAGGGCAAAGAAGATGCAAGGATCCTTCTTTAACGAACCGAAGTTACACACATATTTCACTTTCAAATCAGTTGTCTAGATCTTATCCGTTTCCTTTCTAAAGGTTGTCTGTGTTGCTAAAGGAAGCTAGTCAGTACTCCTACCCCGCCCCACGCGTGGCTGCGCTGTTCTGTCCCCGGTCACCGAGACCAAGTACAATCCGAGTGGAAACCTTTGCAGGAGCGCGACTCTGGGAACACTCCTGCGACTGGTTATCACCCGGGAGCCTAACAGGATTAATACCCAGAGATGGATTACGTTGGCTGTCACCAATACGCCTAAAGATTATAATCCAATTTATGCACATTACAGCCAGTGTTAACTTTATCTGCTATTTTAAGACTCCCAGTTGCCCCGCGCGTCCTTAGAGGACAATTTGCCACGTTCTTATGCAACCCAGCAGGCTGTCAGGAGTGGGAGCCTCCCCAAGAAAACTCCCAGCCTGGTACCCGAGGGTCTTGCACCCCGCACTCCCAGGTATCTCGCTTTCACCTGGGCACCGCTTTGTGGTGCATCCCAGCCGGGGATTACCAACGCGGGAGGCGTTCCCTGGGAAGGAGCTAGCCTTCTAGTTTCTCTTTCTTGTTCATTTCATTTTAAAATTTTCGGTGGCGGTGGCAGTGGCAGAAGGGCGGGGGTGAGTGGGTGGGGAAGGGGGCCAGGGAATTGTTGCCGGTTATAACCATCTCAGCGACTGCTTTTAGATGCTTGTTTTTAAGGGTGGCATTTCTCTCGCTCTGTCTTTAAATAAGTTTGTTTGGGTGTGAGTTCTTGCCTTTTCAGCACAAAACCATAAAAAGACGTGGTGGAAAGTGAAAAAAAGCCCCCTCCCTCCCCCGAGCGTGCTAACTAACGCCAAAGACTTGATTTAACACCCCTTCTCCGGCGGCTGGGGGCTCTAGGCAGTGGCTACATTCCAGCAGTTTTAATCCGTTTTTTATTGTAGGGCTAGAGGAGTTTACACAGGGTCTGGGATGGCTCCCCGGCTGGCCGCTCTCCCTACTCCAGCGCCCCTTCCCCGCCCTTCTCCCTACTTCCCCCCACCCCCCAGCAGGAACCTGTTACTTTAAGCGAGGCGTTCCAGTGTGGCGGTGCGGGCTGCCGGGGTTTCGGGTGGGTGGCCGGTGATTGGCTCTTTCGAGCTCCCCCTGGCTAGCTCGCTCTGCCTCCCCGCCCGCTCCGCCCCGCCCGCGCGCCCTCCCTCCGCCCCGTGAGGCTCGGAGCCCCGGTGTCAGGCGCCACGGCGCATGCTCCGGAATCTCATCCTCTGGCCCTGGAGCTGCTGCTGCTGCTGCTGCTTTTGCTTTTGGGGCTGAGTTTAATAAGCGAGCGAGCGAGCAAGCGAACGCGGGGGGGAAAAAGGCAGAGAATGTCCGCCATCTACCCTCCGCTCCTGGGCGCGCTCTCATTCATAGCAGCCTCTTCATGAATTACAGCTGAGGGGGGCGGGGGAGGGGGGTACCACACAACACCCCAGCAAACCTCCGGGCCCCCAGGCATGGCTAGCTCGGTAAGTACATGCAAAAATAATAATAAAAGACCCTCACCCCCCGCCTTTCCTCCCTCGCCCTGCGCCGCCGCCGCCGCAGCCCAGACAGCGCCAGCGCTCCGCGGTTCCAATTAGAGAAAGGTTGGTACGGCTTGCAGGGAGCTGCTGCCTCTCCCTCAGCCTCCGCTCCCCTCCCTCCCTCCCCCCCCCGGCGCGCGCACACACGCACACACACACACACACACACATACACACTCACACTAACACACACTCGCCCCTCCACCCCCCCGCGCCTCCCTCCTCGCCTCTCTTTGCAATCGCAAGAAGCGCACTCTCGCTCACACGCGCGCACTCACACACACTCACACACGGTGGAAGGAGGCGAATAATAACTCAGCCATATTTCAGCTGCCGCCGCCGCCGGGAGCCGCGGGCACAGTCCGGGGACGCGGCGAGCAGCCTCGCCGGCCGCTACGATGGTGCGTTCTCCGCGGCGCGCGAGTGTGAACCGGAGTGTGCGGGCTGACAGCGGCGGGGCCGCACGCAACTTTGCCCCCGCGCCGGGCTGTGCGCAGTCGGGGCTCGGCGGCTGTCCGTCCGCCGCCCTGCCTTTCTGAATTTCATTTTTTGGGGGAGGTGGAAGGTACTTTGGGGCCACTTTGGCTCTTGGAAGTGTGTTGCGGGGGCCCTCTTAGGCTGGCCTCGCCGATCGCGTGGGGCTTTTCGCTGGGGGGGGGTGCGGGGTGCCTTAAGTGATGGACGGCTCGGTGTGTTTTTCTGCGGACGTGTGTGTGTGCGTGCGTGTGTGTGACGACGTCTCACTTTTGTTGTGCACGAACCCCGTGGTAAGAGCACGGGAGTTTGTGCCCATCGGCGGTGGCTGCCTGTAGTTTCCATTCCGCCTGGCACAGCGCTCCACACGCACGCACACACACACGTACACAAAGACTTCCTCGGCGTGTGCCTGTCGCCGCGGCACTTTCGGGGTGGGGGCTCGCCAGAACCCCCCTCGCGGGTCCCAGTTACCTCCCCTCCCACGCCGGGCAACCGCCCGGGCATCGCCTCTTAATTGCCTCTAATTTGTTTCCGATGCATTCGTTGTCGTGCTTGTAGTGGATGAGCGTGCTCGTCCCTCTTTACCCCCGAACAACCGGACCCCCCTTCCATATCGGGGGTAACATTCCGTTACAATCCCGGCGGGTGTGGATGCGGGCCCGGGGGCGTGTATTTGGGGGTGTAGGGTGTGCGCGCCCACGCGCGTGAAACGTGGATGCAGAGGGCACCGCCGTTTCCTTTTATGTGCGTTTCAAGAAGGAGGAAAAAAAATGTCAGGCGCAATGTTCAGTGTCGAACGGTCGCCTTCCTGTTGTTCACGGCTGTCTCTCCTCCCCCCTGCCCGCAGTGTGCCGTGCAGGTGAAGCTGGAGCTGGGGCACCGCGCCCAGGTGAGGAAAAAACCCACCGTGGAAGGCTTCACCCACGACTGGATGGTGTTCGTGCGCGGGCCGGAGCACAGTAACATTCAGCACTTTGTGGAGAAAGTCGTCTTCCACTTGCACGAAAGCTTTCCTAGGCCAAAAAGAGGTAGGGCTCGAATACAAAAGGAGCTTGATGAAAAATGTCTTTGCTGGAGGAGGAAACAATCGTTTGGCCCGGGCGGTCCCCCTGCCCCTCTCCCCGCCCCCCGCGTCGCGCTCTCTGGCGTAGCTCGGGACCGGGGTGCGCGGCGCCGCGCTAGCCAGGTCCCCGCTCCCGCCCGCGCGCGCGCCACTTCGGCTCCGTGAAAGTCACCGCAGAGAAAGGACTGTCAGGTGTCGAGTGTTTATTCATCCCAAGCCAGCCCTCACCGGTCCTCTGGGTTAGCCGCGGGTTCTGCGGGGAAGGTGCAATTAGTGGTTGGGTTTGGAGGCGTGGGGAGCGGGGCTGGAGGGAATAAACAGCTTGCGCCTTTTTTTTTTTTTTTTAAACCTGGAGAAATTGAGATTTACCTGTGTTGTTAGCAGAGGATGCATGGGATGTACTTACTGTTTCGTCTTGAGAAGTCGCCTGTCTTTAGGGTCTTCTCTGCCTTCCTCCCTGTGTATGAGGCTTTAGGTACCAGTTGTCATAGACTTTTCTTTTTGTGGGTTAGCCACCCCGACCTCCCACCGTCAGGATTTTATGTTCGGTTTGGGGGGGGCCACTTACTGGTCCCTAGCTCCCCGATGGCACTTGGTTGCTCATTCGATTTTGAGCAGCGTTCAGAAGTGTCTGCCCCATGTGACCTGCAGGGAAGAGAGTCCCTGCAAAGGTCGAAGCTAAGTTTCAGAGCAACGGTGTTGTCTTGCCTTCTGCTTCATTCCTTCCTCACCTTGGTTTTTAGCCTTGGTGTCTGGTTTGCATAATTCTGCTCAGCCTCTGCGGTCCCAAACATTTTCCATAAAGGACAGTTTTGAAAAAAGAGGAACAGAGTGTTATTTTACAAGAAATTTAAAGAGGGTTTGAGAAATCTCCATTTCTGTTCCCTTCAGCCTCTGGAAAGCTACTGTCTGGTTGTTTTAGTTGGATTAGTGGAGGTAACAGTACAAATACAATAAGGTGCTTTGTTTGTGAGCAGGTTTATTTATCTAAGTTAGTAGTTATCTTCCATTTGATCCGTAATCTTTATTGGCATCTAGAACTCCTGCAGTTTCTTAGCTTAACATCATAATAAATCCATCTGCTTAGAGCTACGTGGAAATTATTGAACATTCAGGGGCTTGAATAAAGAAAGGAGAAATGCTCTGTGCCTTAGAGGTGGCAGAGGTTTATGTTAATGCTTATTTTTGTTTCCAGAGCTCTTGTAATGGGACTTAGGATTGTATGTTTTGACTATAGTGGTTTGTTTTATAGCTGCTCTTGAAAACTCAAACAGTTGAATTTGATGTGCTTTGCTGGATGGTTAATAAATGAATCCAGCATCTAATAGAGGGGTAGGTATATGCGTGGTCTATCGGAAATAACATTTAGATTTTGTTAGCATTTTATATCAGAATATAGCCAGAGATATTATACTTAAATTTTCCTCCGAACTGTAATGAAGACGAGTATTGTCAAGTTTCTGTCATTATGTGAGGTTGGGTCTGATGCTTTTTGGAATCTTGCTTTCCCTTTTGCATGTGTCCATAGAGCCACAGCAGAGGAGTTTAAACAAAAGAAACCACCTTCTAAGATCCTTTGTACACACTGTTACAACTACTTGCTGTTGTACATTTCAAGGTGAAATACCCTTAACAACAACAACAACAAAAGCAATATTTATTATGTGAGGAAAACTAAGCCAGCTGGCCGAAGATGTAGCTCTTAAGATAACTTTGTTTAGGCACCTTAACAATCAACAAATTGGCATTATGAAATTAAAGATGATCAACCTCTCCATATTTCACCACTGTTTCTCTGCTTCAGTGGGTGTGTGTGGTGACGTTTCCTTTTATTTCCCCTACTTAATGATTTTCTGTCCAGCCTGAGGGTACCCGAGAGTGCTGTCTGTACAGTCCACACCTGGGAATTTTGTTGCTAGGTGTGGTAAGTGGCTTGATAACACTGATGTTCTTCTCAGATGCCTCTAGTGAGAGATGTCTGCTTGTTGGTTGGGCTCTTCAATTTTTATTCTCAACTGTGGAGTTTCTTTATGTAGCCTATAAGCCATTGTTTCAAAATGTTTATTTTTGGATTTTTATTTGTATGTGTGCTTCCCATGATGTGACAAGTCCTGGGAAAAATGCCAGCTTACATAGCCCAGGAGAGACCTTGTCATACTGTAATTATACATGATTCAGATTGCAAAAGAAGGTTTCTCTGTTCATTGGGAATAGTTAGTTGTAAATTAAGGTAACACCAAACATGCCACTTAATCCTGGGACTTATTTTTTGGCTTATAAGGGCTTTCTAAATGATAAGAATAAATACAGAATAAGAATGCCAGGCATTCCTAAGTCTACTTCCGTAGTTTTTTAAGGTGTTATATTTTTGATATTATGGACTATAAATAGGAGGATTGCAAATGGGAGAAACTGCAAAAATGGTTTTGTGAAAAATCTGAGTTACAAGAAATGCACATACTGTAAACTGTAAATGGCTATTAATAATGACAATTTAAATCATTTTCAATATATATGGTAGTTGATAAACAGAAGTGGGCTTAGATCTGAGGATGAACTGCTCAAGCCACAAAAATGGATGAGTTCTTAGTTTCATAAATCTTTGGTTTGGAAAAGCGAATTAATTTTCAGGTTGATTTCCTTTATTTCACAGTAATATTATGAGAACTTGTAGAGGAGGAAATTACAGTAAGTTCAACTTGTTGCCCAGTGAGAATTATGTATACAATTTCAGAATTGAGCTAATTGGACTTGAATTAATAAGGTTTTACTCTGTCCTAAAGACAGTTTCAATTTAAAACTACTAGCACAAAGTTCTAAAAGAAGATTTAACTGTCTACTTGCAAAAAAAGACTATTTTATTTATTAGTATCAAAGATTTATAATAGTCTGATATGACTGAAATGCAGTCATATTCAAAACATTTCATTTAAAATATTAATGTTTTCATTTTCAGCATAATGTGAATTTAAGTGAACTTTCTTTCCAATTATTGCCATCCTTACTATTGCAGTCTGTTCCATTGACATTTATGATATGAAATCTGTTGCTTATTATTTTCTGTAAGCTAATTTGGCCACTGGTATGATTTGATAGCTTTTTATTTGTAGCCTTAGTCCTTTGAGTGGGCAGATAAAGCATGATAAATTTACACTTACAACTTTCCTTTGATTTAAGTGTTTGAGCCCAACTTTACTGTGTAGTTCTGATTTGTGTTAAATAGTTTTCCTAAATAATTTGAATAACTTTTTATCAGGGTATCTAAAATTTGAGGGATTACTAGTTGAAAATACGATGTGCACCTGACTTATTTTCTCTCCTGAGGTATTTAAAAGGTTTATGGAAAAAACAAAGATGGGTGACTGTACTGACACATTCAGTGAGTCTTCTGAGATTTGTGTAGGGTTCTGTATGGAATTAAGATGACCAGTGAGAACAACATAAAGTATAATTCACCAATTAAAAAGCTGAATTGCTGGAGGAAATCTCATGTGCGGTTAGTGAGAATGTAAATTGGGCACGGACATTTTGGAGGGCATTTGGCAAAATCTATTAAGATTTTAAATGTTTATACACATCAACCCAGCGATTTTACTTATAGGTATTTTCCAACAGATATTGTGTCACAAATCCACAAAGTTACAGCATATTTTTTGTGACTCTATTTTGATAGCAAACATTTGGAAGCAAGCCATAGAAGGGACCTCAACTGGGTACAGTTAGATCATGGTAATCTATTAAAAAAGAGGGTAAATCTATTTGTAGATCAAGAAGGATCTTCAAGAGATGGTAGGTGAAATAAGGGAAGTAGCTAAATCACTGTGATCCCATTTACAAAATGTGTTTATACAGATAAAAAGTATGTGTGTGTATGTGTGTAAATAAATAAATTCTGCATGAATGGGCACCAAACTTTTACTAATAGTTTTCTTTAGTGGATGCTATGGTATTGGTGGTGATGAGAAGGGTTTTTTTTGTAGTGTTTGATTTTTTAAAATAAATGTTAATTCTTTACATTTAAAGCATTCCAATGAGCACTTATTACTTTTTAAGATGAAAAAACAAGAGTAAAGCCCCAATATACACTACTGCCTTTCAGAGAGGGATTACCATGTAGCTCTCTAAAAGTGACCTTGAACTGTCTTGGGTAGATATCGTTGCCCAGTGATAATTAGGGTTAGGAATTTCTATGCAAATTGTATCTATTAATATTGACTATATTCAAAATTAACGAGAAATAGTTTGAACAAATTACTTATTAATTTGTTTAAAGATAACAACCATCCACCTATTAGGTTAGCACATAAATACTATTTTAATGAAAAATTATTTTCTAATACATAAAGAAGAGTGAGAAGAGTGGCATCATTTATTTTTGTGTGTGTGTGCAAATCTCTTTAACATTTTGCTTAATAGAAGACAACTGGGTCTGCTTCTGTCTTTTATATTCAGTCTGTTGTGTTATCACACATCATGTAGCCTCTGGAAAACTCCACTGTACACTCAGGAGAGAATGAGAGTAAAAATGGCAAATAGTGTCTTAGAGTTGTTACGAAAATAGCTTTAATTTTGCCAGTTCCTGGAAAAGATTTTGGGCATCCTGGGGTCCCCAGACTTGTTCATGGAGAACCTCTAATATAAAATATTCAACTTACAACTTGGCACAGATAAACTGCCCTGTTATGTGGAAGCTAATTTTCTTTGTAACCATTATTATTGTTGCTAATAAAAATATTTGGGCTTCCTTGGTGGCGCAGTGGTTGAGAGTCTGCCTGCCGATGCAGGGGACACTGGTTCGTGCCCTGGTCTGGGAAGATCCCACATGCTGTGGAGCGGCTGGGCCCGTGAGCCATGGCTGCTGAGCCTGCGCGTCCGGAGCTTGTTGACAAAGGATGGAAAGACCTAAACTGAAAACTACAAAGAATTGCTGAGATAAAATAGAGACAATCTTGGCTTCCCTGGTGG